TCATTTTAAGCCAAGCCTTAGTGTTAATGGATTTCAGAGGCTGGACAGGTCTGCTGGCTGGAGGCAGGAGGTACAGAAGTGGTGAAGGAGTAGGGTCTTTTGTGCCTGAGGGTTGCCATATATTTGCAGCCAGGGCCATAGGATTGGATTCCTCCCTGCCCAAGCACAAGTCCCTCGTTCCTGTACCAGTCTCCTTCCTCACCACCCCTTCTCCCTACATCCAGATACCAGAGATCCGGGGCCCATGCTCGAGGCGTCCTCTCTTGATCTCTAGCTCTGTCTTGTGAGGGTTGAATCCCAGAGGGGACAACGTTAGTGGTCTGGAGTGCCGCCTGGAGGGGGATTTCCCAAGCTCCCCTGGTGATTCCGATGTGCAGCAGGGCTTGAGAAGCCTGCTTGGGTGAATCAGAAGGAGGCGGCTTGTTTCTCTCTGAGGACCAGCACGAGTGCTGGGGAAATTAGACTGCGTGCAGTGCCAGAGGAAAACATCCCGGAGTCATAACAAGGGAAAGGAAATACAGAGAAGTTCTGGCTGTGGAAAAGGAGCCTAGTCATTCATATCAGCTGGTGAACATGGACAGTTAACCACCTGCACATAATGTCACACTCAGGCGATGTCATCGGAGCAGCTTTGTTGTACTTTCCTTTGGATAAAAACACTAGCATTGACTCATCTACCCTCAGACTCCTATTGGCAATAGGAGTGTCTGATTGCCATAACTTTCAAAGTCAGTGAAAACATTACAGCTTGCACTCTTGCAGGTACTAGAATGTTCCAGAATATTGTAAATTTCCAATTACCTATAATAATGGTGAGGATGGGATAGTGGTTTAGGAACCCAATGTGCTAAAGAATGGTTCTATTTGCATTTGCTCCTTTAAGCATTTTCTGGTACAGGTTCTGGTGCAACACTTTAATTTTCATAAAAGACCATTGGGGTCAGCATTAGAAAAATTTCAGCAATATAGAATATCTGCTCTCCAAATTCTTGACAGAATATATGACCTTTATAACCTTGAATGTTCCATTGCTCAGTCCTTGTAAAAAAATGTAATTTTAAGAGATAATATTTCACAGGGCTTACACAGAAGATATGAGGACACGTATGTAAATGCTCAGAGTACAATGTCCAGGCACACTGCAGAAGCCCAACAAAGGAAATCCTTTGATATTCCTCTAGATGGTATAATGTTGTCCCTGAATGAAACCTGACCTTCAGTGAGCCATTTACCTGAACTATAGAGTTCTGGCCTCTTGTCCAAATGTTTTTGCTATCCTGGGCATTGCATTCCCACTGGCCTTCAGAATGGTTCAAGAACCATTTACTGTCAAAATTTATTGATAAATTAATAGAAGCAATGCCTTCTTGGAGGATCCATGGGAGAAAGTTCATTGAGGCTTTAGGCCCAGGAGAAATTGTTTTTCTCCTGAGAATCTAGACTGTTTTGATCTGATGCCTACCATGAATCACATTTCCTTCTGTGTTCTGCTGCTAAGAAGTACAGCATTAATTGGTGACCCATTTTTAGCAACAGTGTAGAACTTTAGGGGTGCATTCAGTCTACCGCTGCCACTTCTTGCTTCACTGAATTTCCCTTACTCTTTCTCACTCTGGATTCTCTCAATTGTTATGTCCATTTTATTATAGTGTATATGTTTCAGATGAAAAATAATAATTTGTAAGAAGCGAGAGGAAAGCAAACCAGCAAACAAATAAATACAGCTCATTTAGAAGTACGGTCAAATAATTTTGTTGCAGATTTAATGCCCTCATTTTTTCTTTTGTGAAAAGATCATATTACCAAGAGTTTTAGTTGTGGTTCTGTCGTTGGTGAGCTCTGTAACTGTGGACAAACAACTTTATTACTCTCACATCTTCTGTTTCTTTATCTGTAGAGTGAAGAAGGGAAATACGTGATTTTTAAACTCCCTTTCAGGTGTAATGACCTTAGATATAGAAAGGAATTCTCTGACCATGTGTCATCAACCTGCAAAGGTTCTGAATGGCAGATGGAAGATGGCTTGTGAGTCTGTGTTCTGTGGTTAAGCCAGAGTCTATAATTCACAATAAAATATCTGACTGCTAATTGCCTTGAGACAACTTGGTACCTTCCAAGGAGTTTATCATTAATGGAGATCTCTGAAATCCATTCTTATCAATATCCTAAGGAGAGTGGGCATATAGTAAGCATTTACCAAATATCTATTTACTAAGTAAATGGAAGGATGAATGACTAGATGAATATATTCTTGAATAGGTTTTCAAATTTAGGATTCTTTTGTGGGGACTCACAGATCTCTTTCTACAGAAGATGGGAGTATTGGTGGTTTCTTAAAATTCTTTTAACTCGCCTAATAGAACTCGCATTTCCATGTTAGTTTTCAAGCTTCATCTGGAATGAGAGTTGAAACAAGTGAGATAAGCTCAAGTGGTTTGTCATTAGCATTAAAACAGTAAGTGGAAATGAACATGGTACAGTTCTGAGATGGATGCCTCATTTGGAAACTTGGAAAATGGGGAGAAAACCTTTCTGGCAGGTGAGAGAGTTATACTCTCTGTTAATTGCTTAACCAAAGATTTTGCTGAACTATCTGCAATTAAGTCAAATATTGGTTTACCTAGAATAAAACCTGCCCCAAAACAGAGGCTTCATTTTTGAAAAATCAACTACATACACTTAAATAAGATTTCTTTTATCACTTTACATCCTGCATTGGAGATTGTGTTTTCAGAAACATTTCTTATAAATTACAAATGAAAGATTATTTCACATCATTGCAAGTCTATTGCAAAGCTCTTGTGTTAGAGGAGAACAATTAAAGAAATACTAAGTAAATACAACTGGGCTTTCTTTGGAAAAGGATGACCAATCTTTTTTGTTATTATTATTATGAACAAAGCTATCTTTTTTATTAGCAAGATTGTATGTGGCTCTGTTGTACACAGTTTCATCTCATTTTTGGAAAGATGTAAAGTACAAATATATTCAATAAATAAAAAGATGTGGCAGATTTAGCTTGCTCTCCAACTTGCCTGCATGAGAAACATTGCCTAAATTGTTTGAAAGTAATAAAGTCTCAGGTGATAATCAATGATAGTGATACTGTTTTAAATACATGATCATACATTATTGTCTATTGTACTCAGGAGGGAAATCTTAGGCTATGTACCATATTTCCTATATCAACTGTTGGCTTGCTGACAGCAAATAACTTAGCTCTTGAGAGTATACCTTCCCCTTTCAGTGGAGAAGAGCTGTGATATGATGTATAGACCTTGTTTGTGTGACATATTGCAACTAAGTGCTTTAAGAAAAAAATACTTTGTGAGCAGAAATTGGTATTGATTCACTATCTTCAATAATAATACCAAACTCCTGAGATTTATTACATAATAATTGTGTTTTTATTTCTGGATAGGCATATATCAATTAAAGAATGATAAATTCTTGGAAAGTGTTCAGTCAAAGATTTTTTTTGTGTGTAAGACTTCAAAAGCACAGGCAACCAAAGCAAAAATAGGCAAATGGAATGACATTTAGTTATACAGCTTCTGCACAGTAAAGGAAACAGTCAACAAAGTGAAGAGACAATACACAGAATGAGAAAAAATATTTGCAAACTATCCATATGACAAGGGATTAATAACCAGAAAATATAAGGAGCTCAAACAACTCAATAGCAAAAAACCAAATAATCCAATCAAAAATGGGCAAAAGATCTGAACAGACATTTCTCAAAAAAAAAGACATACAAATGGCCAACAGGTACTTGAAAAAATGCTGAACATCACTAATCACTAGAGAAATGCAAGTCAAAACCATAATGAGATATCATCTCACTCCACTTAAAATGGCTTTTATCAAAAAAGACAGGCAATAACAGATGCTGGTAAGAATGTAGAGAAAGGGAAACCCTCATACACTGTTGGTGGGATTGTAAATTAGTACAGCTGCTATGGAGAACAGTATGGAGCTTCCTCAAAAAAACTAAAAATAGAACTACCATATGTACAGCAATTTCACTACTGGGTATTTATCCAAAAGAAAGGAAATATGCACTGCTATGTTTATTGTAGCACTATTCATAATAGTCAACATATGGAATCAACCTAAGTGTCCATCAGTGGAGGAATGGATAAAGAAAATGTGGTATATATACACAATGGGACATTATTCAGCCACAAAAAAGAATGAAGTACTGTCATTTGCAACAATATGGATGAAATTGGAGGCCATTATGTTCAGTGAAACAAGCCAAGCACAGAAAGACAAATGTCACATGTCCTCATTCATATGTGGGAGCTAAAAAAAAAAATCTCATGAAGATGGAGAATAGATTGGCAGTTACCAGAGGTCAGGAAGGGGAGGAGTATGGAATGACTGAAGGGTAAAAACATACACATGTATTTATTACCACTGTACCATATGTTTGACTATGGTAAAGATGGTAAATTATATATGCATATTTTACCTTAACAAAAAATAAAAAATAATTTTTCAAAAATTCCTCAGAAGTTAGTTTTTTCTTGGAAAAAAATGCAAACAATATTGTAGCAGAAAATCCAGAAGCACTGGAAACTGCCCTAATCATTAAATGTCAGTAAGTGTTATGGGACAGTTGGCTTTTCATGTAGAAAAAAGTAAAATCCTCTTCTAATTCATCTCCATATGAAAAGCCAACAGACCCAGAGCACTGGACAATCTACCCCTCCTCACTGATGTCTCACGATTTCCACTTTCATTTATAGGGCCCTCTATGGGTCCATTGCTGGGATGCCTATCCCAGTGTTCCTGTGATAATACATACTACTTTAATGAGCAGGACTTTGTAAGTCTAGCTCTCTATATATGGCAAGTTGGCCCAAACTTCATTCCTTTTCAGAATTGCCTTGGCTCTTCCGGGACTTTTGTTCTTCCATATGGAGTTTAGAATCAGTTTGTCAAGTTCTACAAATAATCCTGTTGGGATTTTGATTAGATTTCCTTTAAATTTACAGACAAGAAGATGGTTGACATTTTTATAATTTGCAGACTTATGATGTGACCATTCATTCAGCTCTACTTTTATGACTTTCAGCAACCTTTTCATGCAAAAATTGCAAAGGTAAGGATGATCTTAGCTACAGAAAGTTATTTGCTGAATGATACCCCAAGTTGTTCTAGCCAGACTGTAGGTGACCTGGAAATTGTCAGCTCTATTCCATGTTGTCCCCACATGTGAGTATACTCCTCATTGTCTCCCCTGTCTCTTTTGGTCCTAGTCTGCCCACTGGGATTAAGTTCAATTGGTCATAGTGTTAACTCACTTAATAACACACCTTTTTGGCTGCCTTCCCTCCTGTGGTTCACCTCCTCACTCGCTTCCTCATATTTCCCAGAATCAACTCCTAATTAACGATATGTACTTTCACCCTGCCCTCAGGGACTGCTTCTGGGGAAATCATGACTAGTGTCAAATAGATTTCCAAATAAAATGTAATAAAATATAATTCTCAGCACCTAAAAGCAAAAAGCCCCACCAGTGGTGGTAACCTCCAGGTAGAGTCATTCTTGGGAAGAGCATGGGCTCTGGGGTCTGAGAGATACTTGAAGTCTAGCTCTTCTAACTATACCATCTGGCCTCCATCAATCTCTGCCTTCCACCTACATCAAAATGGAAATTGAAGTTGCACAATATTGTTATGATTATTAGATGATGTATTAAATCTTGTATTCATTCAACAAATATTTATTTCTCCAGGCATAACATACGTAAGGAACATAGTTAAGTAATTAGCATAGACTGGTGTATAGTAAATGGAAACTATGATCATTGCTGTACGCTGACAAATGAGAGGCAGAACAAAATTTGGAGAGCTTGTGACAACAGTGATGTTTGGTAGTATAAGGTCACTCATCTGCTAGGGAGGAGTCCATTACCTCTCCCTCTGCCTACGGACATTAGGCACCAGGCTTCTCATACTCTGTATCATGGGGTGAGGCTTTGAAGATCAACAGACCCAGGTTCAAGTACCCAGTGATTAGTTGTATGACCTTGTTAACTTCTGAGTCTGTGTGTGGTATGGTGATCATGATACCTACCAAAAGGATGTGGTGAGGAGTCAATGAAATAATGGACATAAGGACCAGGCTCCCAGCAATGTTACTTATTTTAATCTCCCTTCTTGTAGATCTCATGGTTGCTGACTACTGAATACATTGGATCATATTCTTCCGAAATGATAGTGTGTCACATTCAAAGGTATTTAGACAAGTTCGATTGGAAGGCATTGCTCTGTCCAATTCTCCAAAATTAACAGTAGTTAAAACAATATTGCTTTCTAAACATTTAATATAGGCAACAAGCAGGACCCTGCTATCCATTATCTAAGAAATTTTCCAGAATATAGCTTGAGAGAAAACATACTAAGTCAAGTTAGAAATCTGGAAAAATGTAACAATTTTATTCAGTTTTAATAGACAGTATTAAGAAGAAAAGTACATGTGGAAAAAAGAGCATGACATTTAGACTCAGACTTGATTTTAATTCTAGTTCTTCCATTTTCTAGTTATGTGTGATCTTGGCCAAAATGATTTCTCTCTGACATTCAGTTTCTTCTGTGAAATTTAATCCTTATTTTGCAGTGCTAGTAATAAGATCAAATCAGGTAATTAGGAAAAAAATCATGGGTAGAAAATGCCTAGTTTAAAGTCTAGCACATAATGAATATTCAATAATAATAAATGGTAACAATTGCTACTATGTAGCTATTATATAACTGAAAAATTTTCCTAGTGGAGGTTTTTGTTGTTGTTAATTTTTATTTACGGTTGTTAGTCTAAGCTCTGAAATATCTATGAGAAATCTTTGTTACTTTTAGTATATGTGGTGCTCAACTTTTAAAAGTTTAACTTTCAAATGACCTAAAATTTTGCATATTATTTATTAAAATATTGAAATTTCCTTTCCTGTATCAAGTTCAGATTTGTGCCTTAGCTAACCAAATAACCATTTCAAGTTTTCTTTATGTGGTGCTGTTTGCCAATCAGGCTTTGCAGCAATGCCACTGTTGTCTGCAAAGCTGCATTTATTTGTCAATTATCTGAGCATATATTATATTTTATCTTGTTATTTTATAAAAATCAATGGGAAATGAGAAACTGATAGACATAATTCTACTGACAAGCATAGATTTAAGAAAGAAACCATTCCACACGCTGAAAGCAGCAGATCTTTAGCCTTGGTTTGATATTTTTTAGACATAGGCTGGTTTACTGTGTGTTTTTAGCAGAAGCAAAATTAAACAGAATTCTGGGATAAGCAACTGATGCTTGAAGCCTGTGCATAAAAGACAAGATGTAATTAGGAGTTTTATAATACTTTTTCAGTTCTGAATGGAAACTCTGTGATAACATGTATGACTATGCTTTAACATTTGTGTATCAGATTTTAACATAATTATTAGTCATATATCATATTATACACAGCAAAGGAAATTGCCTATATTTTAAAAAAGTCTAGTTGAAAATGGAAGTTTCTTTGTTTCTTTATCGAATTATTACAATTCATATGAAAATACTGATCAAATCATCTTAAATCAAAATTCTGATTGGCAACTTCTCATTTTGATTAATAAAAAGGTAACGTTTAGTATTAACTATTTGTATAGTAGGCTAAACCCTTCAAAGGATGAGCTCTATTAGAGAGAAAAATAGCAAAAGGAGCTTCTAACTTGAGCTACAAAAAATGGATTAGTGAATGACATTATAATGTATTTGTTATGGACTTGATCTCTTTGGGGAAATTAATTTCTTGGGAGAAGAACAGATAAAAGGTCTCAGTTCAATCCTCACTGAAGCTTCTGCCCACAATGCTATATATGAAGTAGGTTTGCTTCAAACAAGAAAATTGGAAGAAGACTCCTATCTGAGTGACATATATATCCCAAGTTATATTTCTAATGCAGTTTGGAATCACTTTCTTCTCATATGATTAGGGACAGTAGTGGTGTAGAACAATAGAATGGTGCAACTTTTATTGCAGGTGCCTATTTCTTGACAAATGCATATATCTACAAAGAGATGCTATCTTGACAGGTAGGACCATTTTATTAACAACTTGATTCAAGGGAGGAGACCCATCTGCTTTTTTCTCTTTGACCTCTTAGTAGGTTGAGGCTGCCTATCTTCTCTTTTAATAAATTGCAACAAAGCTGTCCTATTAAAAGAATCCAAATCCATAAAACATGACTTAGTGCTGTAGCAAAACTACAAAAACCAATTACTAGCACAGCTCCTGCAGGTCTGTGTTAAAATTTCAGAATAAAAGTAGGATCCACCAGTTTCCTTACAGAAGTGCTTTTCTCTTGAGAGTGCCTCACAGCTCCCACTTCTATTTCGTCTTCATTTTAATGACATAATTAAAAAGGACTAGAATGGCTTCTTGTTTAAAACATTGTAAATGAAATGATCTCTTCTACAAAGACGAAACAGTATTACTTTAAGTGTCTGCTCTCAGCTTTAAAATGTTACTGATGAAATTTTAGAATTACAATAAAGTCACTGTTCATATGGGATTTTTGGCTTTAAAGTCAGCATGTAAGGTAAAAATCATCAATCCTCAAAATTAGGAGTAAAAATTCATTAAATCACCCATAAAGTACACTATGGAACCATCTTTCAATGAAATCCAGCGTGAGTGTGGAAGGAAAGATAATTGTTGAGCACAGATAAAGTAGTTATCTTGTGTTTAGGTGCCATGAAGTTAGAAAACAAAACATAACAAAATAAAAACAAACCAAAAACCCCTGCTAAATGCTAGAATCACTGTCCACTTGACAAGCCCTTCTCTCTATGAAGATCTGAAAGGGCAGAAAATGAATTACCTAATGAACCAATAGTTTCAGACTGTCCACTGCCTCTTGTGTCTGGCAAAAGATCATTGAGTGAGTAGACAGGTAACATTTCTCACATCATTTAACTGTTATTTTTCTTTTCTTTTTCACCAAATGTTATATAGGTAAATTTGCCTATTAAAAATGGACCTTGAGTATTATAATTTGAAATACAAATAAAGCTATCCCAGCAAATTTCAAGGTGTTACATACAAGTAAGCAATCAGAAAATGTTTGGTACTTCATATGTTCAACATTACTGAAAGCCTCTTTTGGGAAACACATATGGAAATTAGAAAAACTTTAATTACTAAGACTAAGAAAATATGTTGAAATTTGAATAAAACAAAAAGTTGGCCATCTGAGTGATCCTTGCCTAAATTAAACCCTTCCAAATGCAAAGTAGTGGTTTGCCTATTTTACTGAGGAGTAAATTGGGACAAGTGTCACAGTGCCACGGTGGGAATTCTAGGAAGATCATCTCTTGACTCTCCATACCCTGCCAGAACTCTTATTAGTAACTATACATCTAACTCCTCTACTAAGGTCATCTGGCTCCAGCTATGTTCATCTCTTCTCTGCTGGTTGTATGCAGTCTGCCTGGATTTATAGAATGACTCAGCATCTAATTTCAAGTATAAAAATCTGAAAATCATAAAGATGAATGGTAACAGTACTCACTCATTCAGCTTCCTCACACTGAGTCCCCACCACTACTGCTAGGCCAGTGGAACCTCCCCGAGGTCCAACACTTGACTCAGGACCCTCCAGCCCTGAATAGCCATCACTCTTGGACTTGGTTCCCAGCAAAGGAGAACAGGGGCCCTCCAATCCTATTAGCCCAGAGCTAAAAGAGGAGGAGTCAGATGAAAAGAAACCAGCAAAACAAACAAACAAACAAACAAACAAACAAACAAACACCAAACCACCACCACCACCAACAAAAAACCCTGGCAACATGAAAAAACAAAAAGTTTGACACCCTCAAGGGATCGCAATAGAGCTACAGTAGTGGACTACACTCACAAGGAAATTGCCAAATGACAGAAATGGAATTCAGAGTATGCATGGCCAATAAGATAAATGGAATAGAAGAAAACTGAAAACCAACAAGAAGAAGGAGAAAAAAAATAAGAAAAGATAGAATAGAACTTAAAGAAATGAAAGAGTCATCTGGGGAATTCCAAAATATAGCAGAAAGCTTTAACAGGTTAAATCAAGGAGAAGAAAGAATCTCAGAGCTTGAAGACAAGGCTCTTGAGATAACCCAGTCACTCAAAGAGGCAAGAAACATAAAAAAGTCCAGGCAATCAATGAGAGAGATATGGAACTATGTGAAGTGAACTAACATTTGAATTATAGGTATCCAAGAGACAGAAAGAGCTAAAAGCATGGGAAACCTATTTGAGGAAATTATTGAGGAAAACTTCCCTGGTATCACCAGACACTCAGATGTACAGATACAAGATGGACATAGAACACCAGGAAGATTCATAGCAAATAGGTCATCTCCAAGACACAGAGTAATCAACCTGGCCTAAGTCAAAATGAAGGAAAATTCTGCAAGCAACAAGATGAAAGCATCAAATAACCTCCAAATGAAAATCCATTAGGCAAACTGCAAAATTCTCAGCAGAAACCTTATAAGCCAGAAGGATTAGGGCCCCATCTTCAATCAACTTAAACAGAACAACTGTCAACCTAGAATTTTGTATCCTGCAAAACTAAGTTTCACAATTGATGGAGAAATTAAGTCTTTTCCAGACAAGCAAACACTGAGGATATTTGCCATGTATGGACTTGCCCTACATAAAATACTCAGAACAGCACCATATAAAAATCACACACCAGATACCCACCAGTGAAAAGTCACCTAAAAAACTCCAAAATTCTTATAAAATGATAGAACAGAGGTAAAACAAAGCAACAAGGGACTATCCAACAGGACAAACAGACCGACATCCCACAAATTAACTCTATCCATTGATGTTAACAGACTGAACGCTCCTCTCAAAAGACATAGGCTGGCTGAATGGATTAAAAAACACAAACCAAATATCTACTGTCTCCAGAAAACACATTTAAACCACAAGGATGCATGCAGACTTACATGAAAGGATGAAAAAAATATTCCATGCGAACGAAATCAAAGGAGAGCAGGTGTAGCCATTCTCATATTAGATAAAATTGAACTTAAGCCAGCAAAGGTAAAGAAAGACAAAGAGGATCATTATGTAATGGTAAAGGGAACAATTCAACAAGAAGACATAACAATCCTAAATATATATGTGCCCAAAACAGCAGCTTCAAGATACATAAAGCAAATTTTACTACAGCTAAGAAAAGAAATAAATACAGAAATCCTCAATAAAATACTAGCTAATCAATTCAACAGCACATCAAAAAAAAAAAAAATCCACCAAGACCAAGTGGGTTTCATCCCAGAGATGAAAAGATGGTTTAA